ATAAATAAATAATAAATAATTATATACATATAAATATAAATGCATATAAAAAAGAAGTTGCAGTGCTAACTAAAAAAAAAAAGAAAACAAATTATGCCATTATATACGACTAAAAAAAAAGGGACAGTAAACACAAAAAATGCGTTCTATCGTTTTTCGTCAATGATAAGAAATGAAAAGAAAAAAAAACAAAAAAGAATAAAATGTAAAGTAAGAAAGGAAGGGAGAGAAGTATTTATGTTAAACTTTCGCATAATAGCACGTAAAAGCTCGCGTCGTTTTGTACATTTAAAGTCGGGGTTGACAAGTTTTGAGTCTCGACAAAAAAAACATTTATTTTATTTTATATGAAAAAGAACTTGATCAAACAAAAAAAAATTGTTTCTATGTTAAAGAACTGAAAGATCTCTCGAAAATCTATGCAATTATGTAATATTTATTTTTAATATTCTTTTTGCAAGAGAGAATAAGAGATTTGCCTTCTTTTTTTTCTTCTTCATTTTCCAATATGTGTCGTTCGTAATTTTCTAGTGAAACGCAAACGTGAGATTATAAATTTATGCGAAAGTTCTATACATCGACTGAGTTGTTATGTGTACAAATGTTAATCATCTAAATCGATCCCCTATTTTATTTATCTTCAACGTGACGTTCTGTTGGTAATTTAATTTAATTTTTATTTTTATTCATTTATTTTATTTTATCGTTGTCTTTTTTTCTAAAGTGTGAACGAATATAGCAACATTGCACGTATGGCAGAATTAAAAGTAAACAAAAGTGCAAAAAATCAAAGGTAAGATCTATTTTTCATTGAGTTTTTTCTTTCGCGATAAGCAAAGACGTTTGGTAAAATGTTAAACCTTTCGTTAGGGCATACTTTGGCTCGAGTACGACCCTTATATGAGTCGGGGTGGAACTTTTGCATGAACGACCCAAATAGGGGTCACTCGTATCTACGGGCCTTTGTATAAACAAAGACCCGTATATGAATCGTCGAAACGAAAGGATTAATATTTATATATATATAATTATCAAGTGTTAAACGAGAAAAAAAAGAAGAGAAGATAAGAACAAAATTTTCATTAATTTGCTTTACGCCTTATTCATATTAATCGTAAGTAAAATAATAGTTTATATTGATAGTTGTTAATTGAAGTAAAAATTTACTTGTGTATCAATGAAATGCGATAAAAATGTTGATATTACACTTGTTCAATATGCGAACAGCGTTATAATAAATGAATTATCTTATTCCTACATCCCTTGCTACCTGAAGATTAATTCTTTTTTACCTTTTACAAAACATGTGTTTCATTATCATATTTAAATTTTAGGAAGATCACATTAATCAGTTTGATGATTATTATGTTAAGTTCTATGAATACTATTTTACATCATAATTATTATGTACTATATAATTATCGACAGAGAAAAAAACCAAAAAAAGACAATTATTGCATCTTTATAACATAAATTTAATTCATGCTATGCTAAAAGTAATCATAAATAATACAAAAGTACATAGAGGCTCACAAGTCCACTTTTTTCCTAACCAGGTTCATCTTAATTACAATCATAACCACCAATGGACGATAGTAAATACTTAACTGTATTATCAAATAATACTCACAGTATTCTTTGATAGTATATAATATAGTAAAGTCATATTGTATAATAGAATTAGAAATAATTATATTTAATTTTTAGTGTATAAAATCATGTGTGTACCTTCAGAAATGCATTTATACATATATTATAAAAAGTAGTCATTTATAAGGCGTTCAAATAGTAGAAAATCTTAAAGGTTTGTCATTAAATCCCGAACGATGATCACCTGTAATAAGAAGAAAACTATATTACTCATACAATCAAGTGATACAATAGCCTGACATATAATCGTCCAATTCGCAAATGCACTTTTCAATTGAGTTTTCTATTTATTTTTATCGAATTTTTATTTATCGTTGCTAGAAAATTAAATTTAAACGCTTGATTTTACATTTACTTAAAATACGTTGGTTGGAACTTAAATAGTGGTAACTATTTATTCACAACCGATACAAAAGAGTTACACATGTTTGCACCTGTTACTGTCCTTCAAAGTAGTCATCAGCGTTGTGTAGAACCCTTTGCCAGCGATTTGGAAGGCTTAGTATACTGTTAGCAGAGTCTGCTCTGTTGATGGTGCGAATGGAGCAGTCTACTGCCTGTCGAATTTCTGGAACAGTTCTGAAGCGAATGCCACGATGGGTTTCGCATAAATTGACGGAAATGCAGAAATGGATGCGTTACGACGCTGCTCAGACGCACTTGGAGCGCTATGAGCGCGAAGGAGAGGCTTTCTTACGCCATATCGTAACACTGGATGAGATATAACAATAGACCGCTCCATTCGCACCATCAACAGAGCAGGCTCTGCTAACAATATACTAAGCCTTCCAAATCGCTGGCTACGGGTTCTACACAACGCTGGTGACTACTTTAAAGGACAGTAACAGGAGCAAACATGTAACTCTTTTGTATCAGTTGTGAATAAATAGTTGCCACTATTTAAGGTTCCAACCTACGTATATATAAAAAGAGAAAAGTACAAATATCAAGTTACAAAAAAAAATAATATCTATTAATTATTATGAAATATTTTTAAACTGTACTATATAGAAAAGAAAAATTACATAGGGTATAGCCGGAAAAATATGGGAAATCTGCCCCCGTGGCTTTTTTGACTCGCACTTGGGGGATCGATTTGGTGTCGAATAAAAATAATTCACCCCAAATTTTAGCTCTTTTACTCAAACGATTCTCGAGATTTTCAAAAAAACCTGTTTTTTCGATTTTATTTTTTTTTTTTATATCAAATATTATATTAGGGCATAAATAGAATTAAGTATATTGTCAAGGGGAACGAACATGTAGTAGGGGGGGCCTTCGGGGTAAACACCCTAAAGGGGTATACCTGAAAATATATATATATTTTTTTTATAGTAAAATTCAAAACTAATCAATGATGATTTTTTTTCTAGTTCTTAGGAGTCTAAGACATGAAAAAAAAAATATTATCATAATATTTTAACGAAAAGCCGATTTTTGGCGGACAAAAGAAAATTAAATTTTTTTTTTAGCTTTTTTGAAATATGTCACTCACCAAAATTTGTCAGAAAATGTCTTTTATACTCCTCTACACTCAAGAATTCTCTTGAATTTTTTGAAGTGGTGGAACAATATGAAAAAAATTAAAAACTCATTTTTTTTCTAAAATCTCAAGTTTTAACTAACTTTTTTTTTTCAGTTAAAAAAAATGTGAAAAAATATTTTTTTACTCAAAATACACTTTGCCAGAAATAAACATAAAGATTATTATAAAACAATTAAGATATATTCCGTCTAACATAATTAGAAGGGTTATTGATTATTGAAAATACACTTAAAGATGGTACTTATATATTTTTTAAAGGTTAGATATTATTCTAAATCTTATGCAAAAAAAATAAAAATTATAATAGAAGATGTAACTATATTAGTCTTCATTACTGTTTTAATTCACTACGACACTAATTTTTTCATCGATGAACAGGCGACTCAGGATCTCAGCAGGTCTTACAATTTTCACCAAATATCGAGCGTAAGATAAATAATATATGATAGCAGCAA